TTCCTGGACAAGCAACAATACGGGTAAGCACGGCACGGCGGGGAACAATAAAAGCACGAATTGCAAGGACCGACAAAGTGGGTTCACACACACATTCACAAAGGTATCTTCGGGACGCAGCGGAATCAGTGTCCAGAAACAACGGTCAGACCCAGCCCTGGACGATCACTCAGAAACGTGATCAGTGCGTTTTTTGCAAAGCGGCGCCAGGCGCATCGAGCCGTTCAGCGACAGAAAACGTTCCATCGAAGAAGCCTGTACTGGTGCACTTGGTGATCACGCTGAGAAATAGCACAGCTCTCAGCGCAGCTACTTCACCGCACGTAAGAAACCCTTCCCCCGGCACCACTCACCAATGCGCACTGCCGGTAATGCGCCTTGCCCCATCGGATTTTACTTTCTCGCGTCGCCGCAATGACATCACGGCTGAAGGGACATTCTAACACCGCAACCTCCTGCCGCACCATCCGCCCAGCCGGCAGCCTTCCCGGAAGCATCTGCCGCTAGCTCCGTCACGGCTCTTCTGCCTATGCACCCGCCGAAGGCAGTCGGTCCGGTGCGGCCTGGCTGTCCGGATGAGTCATAGCGCAAAAATGTGCAAGGGCACGGAGATGGTGGCCCCCTCCATAGCATCGCTGTGCTTTCAGACAGGGACACTCGACGTAGCGCGCATTCGCGCAGCGGCCCACTGCCGCTCCCCGGAGGAGACCCCCACTCCGCTGCCAAAAAAAAGACTGCAAAAAACAGGCCTGGATGTACGGATTTCAGGAGCGGTAGATGAAGGAATGAGCGATGACTCACGGTCCGCAGTGCAACATGTGATTCAGCCTCGCTCTCCCATTTTCAGACTGGCTACGTCTCACGTCCACTGACCCTTGCTTCGTTAGGGCGCACATTCCACAGTTCAATACGAGCACATTCTACCCCTGTGTTACTCCGGAGGTGCACATCAACGTCCATGTAACGCACACCCAGACGGTACGCCACTGCACTCCCGCTGCGCCATTTCGCTTCTCCTCAGCACAGTCTGGCTGCGAAAAAGTCCACGGGGGCCGTCTGCTGTAAAACAGTATAACGCGTGCACGACTACTTTCCAGAGGGCACAAACGAGTGCGTGGGCGGCGAGTAGCAGCGCACAATTACTGGAGAATTCCCCTTCCCTCACTGCATCCCATGTTCATGCTTCTCGATCATATCTCACATGACGATGCCGGCAAGCCATCGTCCATCGAAAACAGTTCCTGAGATCGATACACGCAGCGGCAGGGCCCATCTGAAGCAAACAGTCGCCAACTGAGCCGTCATCCGTCCTTCCTGTGCTCTCCAACTGTCTGCGAAATGAGGCAACAATGTTGAGTTTAGTGGAAGGGCGAGGTGCTCGCAGCACATAGGCCAACTTGCAAGTGCACGCAGATTTTTACGAAAATATTCAAAACTGCAGTCGGACCACCATATAAAATCAGTTACGTGGCCAGGATTTCCACCACAAAGTTAAGATCTACGTGCAAGTGTCAGCTGCGAGGTTGCGAGTAAGCGGGAGTATTCGCCAAGTCTTAAAAACCCCCTCAAATCTAGCACCAGGCTTTACTGATGCAAATTTCCATATACACCAACAAAGTGCAGCGTGGTCATGTGTCGTATATGTTCGTGCATGTATGCAGATACTGATGTGTGTTCAGATGTGTCCAGACAGCTGACCCCCCAAGACTACAGGAGTGAAAATGAAAATCTGAGATATTAGTACACAGCGCGCAAACACCAGGAACCAAATTCATACCCAATAAATCGCTGCTACGATTTTTGACTTCAGCACTAAAACCCAGCAAATGCGGCAACCAGAGGAGAAACTAAATCGCAAGTTCCTGATATTATGGACTCGGTTCATCAGTGATTAGAAATCAATCTTCATACGTCGAGTTATGACCACACGCTCAAGTTGAGAGTACTGTTTCGAACATTAAACAAGTTACGAACGTGAAAAACGAAGTGGCCCAATAAAGTGCAAGACGAACAGCCTGCTTTCTCACCCTTTCCCTGAGAGCTAAATTGTGACCTTGGAGACCGTTCTTGTAACTTGAGGCAGCCTAGACATTTGCGCACTTAAATCTTGTGACTCCTGCTGGACGCATGATGCAAAATGAATGCCTTTAGTCTCATCGCAGTACAACTTTTTTTTTTAACCTGGTACTGCACCTAAGAAAGAAGTAGGTTAACGGAATTTGAAAATCTAGTGGTTCCCAATCCTATCACGTACCGACTGACCGGCAAAACATGAGATCGCATCGGCTATCTAAGTGCCTCTCCTTGCAGGACTACTTTGACATCCAGAGCCAAAGATACCAACGAACTTCATCTGAGTTACTGACAACTACTGGTTACTATTTGTGACCGGTGAACTAGTATTCATTGCGCTCTTCACCACCGCTTCCCTCACAACCCAGTTTCCCAAGTCCCTCAGAACCTAGACTGAGTCTTTCCAACACGCGCAAAATTAAACCCAGCGACGCGCTTCAAGTCACAGCGGGTCGAGAAATCGAGTTGCGAGCCCAAGCACCGCCAGTAAGTGATTCGGCAAAGTTCCGTCGAGCCATGGCAAGAATTTTTTTGTAGTGGTTGCAGTGCCTTGGCTTAAATTTAATATTTGGACGCCTTTTCGAGCGGACAACAGTAAAAAATTGATTCTATAAAAAAAGTTTTTTGACTATGCGGCGAATGTAAAAGACTGAACAGCACCAGCCATTTGATATGTTGGAGAACTTACGTGGTCAGATTTTCAAAATTATTTCGAAGAGAATCTTGTTTCATATAAGTGGTACTACCAATCACTCTGCTCCCCATTATTATTTCAGTTTTTATTTTCACAGCGTTAATTTA